CCGCCGCCGCTGCCTCGTAATGGCGACGAATCGCCCTCAGCAGTGGCCCGAAAAATGCCCGGATGAAGCTATTTATAGGGAGGGCGGGGCCGTCTTCGCTCCCAAAGGATGCCGGGAACTACGCCCTCCCTCCGGTGGGTTTTCTGTTTCTTTTTCCAGTAGAAACCACAACTCCCACAATGCACTAGGCGGCCGGGTCGCTTTCTATTGGGCGGTGTATAAAGGTGGTCTTTTAAAGGGAGAGCGCAGGACAGAGATTAAAAAACAAACCGGCGGAGAACGTTCACGCCGCTCAGAGTGACGGCTGGGCCGGGCGGGCGGGGTAAAAGCGCAAGCAATAGAATAAATTAACGTTGCACGATGCTTAAGGACTCTGGAGACATTAAAAATGACCAACGGAGAGGCGACTGAACAATCTTCATTCACATCACTGGGTTACACCATTTAAAATTATGGGCGTCTATGAAATATCAGTAAAATTAAAACAAATGTGCTTAATTACACTGTTTTTGACCAGAAGCAGGCGTTGCCTTGGCCATTTGCTAGATTTTCTTTTGTGCAGGTAAATTGCGTGCACCCGAGTGTTGCCTTGACTGAGTTTTTCTAGAAGTTGAGTCATGGCAACTGGAGTTCTTCTTAGGTTGAAACGCTTGGCTACTCCTCCAAGTAGCTTCTTCAGTCTTGATTCTCTCTATGAAGTGACCTCCACTTAATGAGCAATAATAAAATATTTATTAGACGACCAGCTGCTTCCTTAACATGGAGAATGGAATGCGCAATAAATCTCCAGCATCGAGGAGGTGTGTTGTGTTGAGCTGCGCATTTCTCCCCCTTATCTATAATAATTGCACACTACCGGAAGGAAAATCACAGCTGGAAAAAAATAACTTCCTTGGGGATACAGCATAGCCAGGTTGCAGTCAGAGACACTGTACTACTTGTCATCGGAAAAAATTAACTTTTTCATTCTCCGTGGGAACGCCGAACAGGGAGTCCCGAAGGCCCACGTGACACCAAGCGGCGGGACAGGACCGCGCTAGTGCGCATGCTCTGTTCTGCTCAAGGGGGCGGAGCTGCCGGGAGTGGGGGGCGTGGCGACCCGACCCCGGCAGCCCTGCGAAGTCGAGCAAGATGGCGGCCTCCGTAGCGATCGGGCCCGGCCGGGCCTGGGGCGGTTGCCAAGGGCGACGGGCCGTGACCCTCCTCTGGCGGGGCCTGTGCAGCGGGGCGAGGGGCCCGTCCGCCGGGCAGGACACGCACTTCGGCTTCCAGACCGTCTCGGAGGCGGAGAAGGGAGAGAAGGGTGAGGGCGGCCCCACTCTGGGCGGGCGGGATGGGCGCCCGCGGCCAGGCCGAGGAGGAGACCCGGTGGGGGAGGGAGTACTCCGTGAGAGTAACGCTATTTAGAGTAACAGCAGGAGGAGGAGGAGGAGCACCAGCAAGAATACACAGAAAGAGGAAGGAAGGAATATAGATTAGGCATCCTTCGGTCTGGAGAGACGGTGGGCTCTGAATAGGGGACTTGGAACAGCGCCTAGTGGGGTTGAGAAGGCCCATTCGAGAGGGACAATTTTCTTTTGTGTAGTAATAATATCAATAGGAAGGAGTAATAGTAATAATAAAAGAGAGGGAGGGAGGAAGAATAGTAGTAGTTATAGGAGTAATCATGCCCCAAAATGGGGAAGGGAGGATCTTTTAATGGGAAAGCTAAATGATAATGATGATAATGATAATAATGATAATAATGATAATGATAATAATAATAATAATAATAATAATAATAATAATAATCATCATCATCATCATCATAATAGAAATAGGAAAGAAGGAATAATGTTGATAGTGTTAATCAACATAGGGAAGAATAACAACAATAGTAATCAGAAAGAGGAAGGAAGGTTGATGATGGCGCCTATAATAATAATAATAATAATGATGATGATGATGATGATGATTTTAATTATAATTATAATTATAATTATAGAAAAGAAGGAATAATGTTGATAGTGTTAATCAACATAGGGAGGAATAACAAAGACAATAGTAATTAGAAAGAGGAAGGTTGGTTGATGATGGATAGAGGAAGGAAGTCTTCCCTGCGAGGCTCACAAGGGAGGGCTGGCCTGGCAGGGGCCATCCTGGCAGGTGTAGTCCTAAAGAGTAACTTTTCCAAGTGGCCCAAGGTTAAGAACCAGTGGGATAGAGGAAGGAAGTCTCCCCTGGGAGGCTCTCAAGGGAGGGCTGGCCTGGCAGGGCCCATCCTGGCAGGTGTAGACCTAGGAAGAGTAACTTTTCCAAGCATTTTTCTTTTCTTTTTTTGCCTGACAGATCAGGGAGCAGCAGCCAGAATTGCCATCTCTCCCTGTGTCCTGTTCCTATTCTTGCTGGGGGAGTTACTTTTTAGAGCGTGCAAAGTTACTTTAGAGCCTTGACTTGATATAGTTTTGCCACAGATAAAGCTACCTGCGATTAGCCATGGATAGGATAAGGATTGTCTGGAGCCCACAGCACCATTCTGCTACCACACCTCTGTTGGGGCATAACTTTAATATGTTCTCATAGTTTTCCTTGAAAGGAGTCAAGCACATATGCAGTTTAAGTTATTTGGTACCACTGTTCGTTCATGTGGTGCTTTACAAAGTTATGCTAGATCAGCAACCCAAGCATTTTATAGTCTTGAAATGCTGACAGTGCAAAGCAGAATATAAAATGCAAATAGCTGTTGCTGTGGAAAAATTCAAGAGGTTGACAAAGCTTTGTGCAGGAAATGAGGTTTTGTGATCTCAATCTAAGGGAGGCCAGTAGTGACCTCTGCACTGCAGACCAGCAGGTAGTGAGTGCCAGATGTCCACACAACAGTCTTGTAAATATCGATACAGCTGTTCATATACATAAATGAGAGGCTGAAGGACAGTGGCTTGCCTGGGATTGTTGAGGAAAGTCTTGTCAGTATGACAAAACATAAGGTTTTGATGTTAGGAAGCAGAAAAGTTGAGTGGGAAGAGCTTGTAGGGGCAGAATAAGAAAATGTTGGCTAACATGGCTGGGAAGGTGAGGAGACTATAGTCACTTCAGTCTCAATCAAAGGGAGAAGGAGAAATAAAGGCAAACTGGTATCTAGCACTATATGGGAATGGTGTCAACATATTCATTTGATCTTGAACCGAGGAAGAGAAAGTAGCCCGTCTTACCATATTTTTAAAAAATCAATTTCAGTTTACCAAGTTTTTGAAAATGTGGCTAAGAAGTATGATGTGATGAATGATTCCATGAGCTTGGGAATCCATCGTGTTTGGAAGGACATCCTGTTGCGTCAAATGAACCCTTACCCGGGAACTCAGTTACTGGATGTTGCTGGAGGGACAGGTGAGCCTCATGTCTTCTTAACTCTGACCGATAGGCAGGTTCAGACAGAATCCTTCTTGTAGTTTGTGAAAAAAAAATCCAAAAAAATCCTGCTATTCTTAATTTGTCGATTTCTAAGATACAAAAATAGCATTTATGAATAGTTTGACATTTTAGGCGGCATGTTAAATATGCATTTCTTATGAATATGCTGAGAGGCTTATCATGGTTTAAATGGTTGCCAGACAATTAGATGTAATCCTAATGATCATATTTTTGTGAGAATATTTATTCACCAGGGTATCTTCTTACATGGGTGCGAAGAACATTGTGTTAGAAACAAAAAGTACAATTTCATTTAAAAAATTACATAAGTCAATCGAGCTGCATTTCTGGTTTAGAATAAGAGTAAGGTCTGTTATAGAAGCTTTGGGAAGCAAGTTAATGTTTCTAGTTAATCTGTAATAGAATGTATAGCCAAATGTTTTAAATCAGAGTTGAATGAAGAGTACAACATCAGTTGATAAATGTTGAAGATTTATAGCTTTCTGTCAGATGGTGCTGGTTTATAACAAACTGCATTGTTGCCAAAGTGCAGACCCTCCCATCAGAAACACACACCACTGGCAACCCTTAGTTCTGTGGTGGGTAGATGGTGTGTGCTTCCTTCCTCTGGATCGTCCCCCTTAGGGCAACTAGCAGGGGCAGAAAGAGCAATTTCACAAACGCCTAGCTTCCTTCTTCTGCGTCCTTCAGATACACAGCGCCCCTTTGATTCCAGGGAAAATCCCACACTGTGAATCTTCCTTTCAAAATAAATACAGGTGATATCGCCTTTCGGTTTCTCAATTATGTTCGTTCCCAGCGGGAGCATCAGGTGCGGCAGAGGCTAAGATCCCATCAGAATTTATCATGGCAAGAGATCAGCAAACTGTACCAGGAGGAGGATAAATCCCTGGGCGGATCACATGTGGTGGTTTGTGACATCAACAAGGAAATGCTGAAGGTTGGGAAGCAGAAATCACAAAGCCTCGGCTACTCTGAAGGTAATGGGTGTTGGGCAACAAGAATTGCACCATGCAAGGTTCCGTGTACATGGGGTTCAGCAACTGACTTGTGTAGGCAGAAGGGCCGTCAGCCCTGGCTCTATAATTACACCTATCCAGAAGACCGGACAGTGTATCTAGTCTCGTACTGTCTGCATTGGCTGGCCACAGGAATTAAAGGGAGAACTCTTAGGTCTTTACTCGAAATGTTTTGTTTTTTTGTTGGAAACGCCAGGGGTTGAAAAGGAGGTCTGACACCTGCACCTCTGAGCTGCTTGTGCATGTTGCCTCCATACCTTGAGCTTTGAGGTAAATCACTAAGCTTAAGACTGACACAGGCGTTGGTTCCTGTTCACGCTAGAAGACAAGGGATTGAAGAGCCACTTGAGTCAGCCATGGTTTGAGAAAATGAGGACCTGAGGGGCGCACAGTGGGTGGGAGGTGAGGATTGCGGGATCAGAGCCTAGGGCAGAGGCAGGGGGTACCGTTTGGGGGATCGGTTTGGCCTTCGGCCTCCAGTTACATCACCCCAGTACACATTTTGTGAACCCAATACACCTTCCACGTGTGTGCAGCCCTGAACTAGTATAGGCGGGGGTCATGCTAGTTTTGCGGTGGGTGAGTTGCAGGAGACTCTTCTTACCTGCTGAGGGAGCCAGCTGGCCAGTCCAAGACAGTCGCCCATTTGTTCTGTTTTCTGCTGAAGGATTGTCGTGGGTTGTTGGAAACGCTGAAGAGCTGCCGTTCAGTGATGACCATTTTGACGTTTACACAATTGCCTTCGGCATTCGGAATGTCACTCACGTGGACCAGGTGAGCATCGGCACTGTTGGCTCGATCCCACCCAGATTTACTTTCCTGAGAGGAATGTGAGAATCCAGTTCTGCCGGCTCAAAGACTGGAGGTGAGGGAGGGGCGTGACATTCAAACAGCAGCTGGTCTGTCATCCCTGGGGACCCAAGGTAGCATGCAAAGCTAATGATGGCTTCTCATGGTTTATCCTGAGTGCTGGGGGGAACACGGCCTCTATGCAAGGGGGAGGCCTTTTAGATATTTTGACACCCGTTGCTAGATTACCCCGTTAACTTGCAGGTAGAGGTTCTCTTGGATGAGCAGAAAGAAGGCCGAAGGAGGCGAGGACGGCTTGGATGCTGTTTTGCTCCCACTGTGCCCAAAACTCACCATCATTGGATATATTGGACTTTGGAGGTGTCTCTTGGAGATTAGAAAAAGTTGTCCATCCCTGCGGGGTCTTGTTATTTATGCTGAACTCAAAATTGTTTCCCAGAATCAACATTCTGAGGTCTGATTTAAACCCCCAGGAAATGGCAGAAAAACCTGTTCTTCACTTCTCATCTGTCTTATTCCAGGCACTTCAGGAGGCCTATCGAGTCTTGAAACCAGGAGGGCGGTTTCTTTGTCTGGAATTTAGTCAGGTCAACAACTCCCTTGTTTCCAGGTTGGATTTCCAGTTCTTTCTCTCTCTCTGGACCTTCTTTGCCCAGCCCCCGAAGCCCCAGTAGCGAGTCACAGAAGCCCAGAGAAGGCGCAGCTCTTATGCACCTGCTTTAATGTGCTAGACAGGGATGGGTTGGGAAGGCAGGGCACCTGTTCTTCTTGGAGGGACCCAAACACTCCCCACCCACTAAAAGTCCCCCACTAAAAATACAAACATCTACACCGCAGGCCAAGTTACACAGTCCAACTAATTATTCACTACTGGTGGTCTTTAAGCTCATTATTAATTGCAATTATAGCTCTGGGATAAAAACTATTGAGAAAACGTGTGGTCCGAGTCTTAATTGTTCTATATCTTCTGCCAGATGGTAACAGTTCAAAAAAGTTATAAGCAGGATGGGAAGAGTCTCTCAGGATGCTATGTGATTTCCTTAGACAGCGGGATGTGAAGATGTCATCCAGGGTTGGTAGCTGGAGCCCGATGATATTCTGGGCAATTTTAATGGTTCTCTGTAGAGCTTTTTTGTCCGCTACAGAGCTAAAGATCATATCTGTGATCTTTCCCCAAGATGTTGGCCATTTATAAGGTGCTAAGAAACCACTGTTTCGGACTCCTCCTCCTCCTCCAAGAGGAAGGGGTCATGGCCTTCCAAGACAGGGCTGAAAGGGTAGAAGAGACCTTTCAACTAACTAATGAGGCCATACACAAAAAGCAGAACCTACCGGTAGGTTAACTTCAGTAAGCTTAAATGCAGACCTGGTGTCCCGTAAACGAGGTGCCCTGGCTTGTTGAGATAGAGAGCACCCTCAGTTCGCTGCCAAGCCGAGTACCCAAGTGCCACTGAAAGAACGGGATGACCCCTTTGGAACACCAGAGAAGGTGCCACTACGAGAACCAGCCTCCTTCCCAGGACATGCCAGAGAAGCCACTCTGGTTTCTGAACTCCTTGGACACCAACCGAAGAGAGACGGGTGTTCGGGGGGGCAGTCCCTGCATCCGGGCAGGATACAAGGGTTGCAGCCTCGGGGGGGGGGGAATAGTATCTCCCTTTCTTCTCTGAAGGGTGGGTGGTTTGTTTTGGTGCTTATGCTGAGAGCTGACAAAGACGGCACACTTGTGGGGGTGTTAACCCTTTTTGAGGCTGCAAGGTCCAGGGGCAGGGCTGTGATCCTGTCCCCTATCTACCCTGTAGTGTTAAGCAGCTTGGGGCATGGGATCATGCACCCTGGAGAACAGGGGCTGGGGCTGTTGCCAAAAGTTTCCTTGCTCTAGAATATTCTGGACCTTCTTTGCCCAGCCCCCAAAGCCCCAGTAGCGAGTCACAGAAGCCCAGAGAAGGCGCAGCTCTTATGCACCTGCTTTAATGTGCTAGACAGGGATGGGTTGGGAAGGCAGGGCAGCTGTTCTTGGAGGGAATGGGTCCTGACTTCCCTCTCAAAGGCCAGCCAATGTCCCCTGGAGGCCAATAGAAATAAAACCCTGTTGAAATGGAAGTTACTTTCAGTTTATCTGAGCAACAGAAGGCTGGTCCCAAGTGGCAAAACCTTACAGCACTTCTGGGAAATATTCAGGCTTTAACGCTGGGCCTCCAGGGGCATGAAACGTTCTCGAGATGCTTTTGAGGAACATGCTGGTTACTGAAGGCAAACCATTTCAGGGGAAGTTAGGTCTAAAAAGGTCTGCAGTATATGCCTTACCATTTTCTTTCTTCTTTTTTTATTTTGCTTGCTTACTTTCAGTTTGTACGACCTGTATAGCTTCCAGGTGATTCCTGTGCTGGGCGAAGTTATTGCTGGGGACTGGAAATCCTATCAGTATCTTGTAGAAAGCATCAGACGCTTTCCTGGCCAGGTAATGAGTCCTCTGGTCGAGAGTCTGATATGAAAGCGGCAGCTTTAAGTACTTTTACATGAAGATCAGTCCAAGTATATTCGAGGCATGTACTTTGGAGGAGAAATCCATAATTTACAGGGCTGTAAACGGAATGTCAGCCTTAGTGAAGGGGGAAACACTGAGGAATTCAAGAATCCATTGGTATTGTCTTACAGAACTAAATGCTGACGTTAGCCTTTCTGTATTTCAGGAGGAATTCAAGGAGATGATTGAAGATGCAGGCATATGCCGCCCAAACTACCCAGAGGTCTTACAGAACTAAATGCTGACATTATCCTTTCTGTATTTCAGGAGGAGTTCAAGGAGATGATTGAAGATGCAGGTTTTCTGAAGGTGGACTATCAAAACTTGAGTTCAGGCATTGTAGCCATTCATTCTGCCTTCAAGCTGTGACCTTAATCTTCCTTGTCTTTCAAAATAATACAAAGGCAGCAAGTAGAACATTCTGACACTAAAAATCAGCTGTTTGAGCCTTTCAGGGCACTTGCTGCCATATCACATCATACTTCGGAAAAGAACTAGTCCCTTGGAAGAATCTAAATATTTAAGCCTCAGAAAACAACCAGGTGTATTTTGGAAAATCATGTATAAACTGGGCGTACCTCGTACATTAATTCATCTGGCCAGAGGTCATGTCAAAGGCCACAGTGACTAGTTTGAAATTGGGACTTGAACTCAGAGCTGAAATTATTTTTACACAATGCATTTTTGTGAGGACAGTCCGTGAAAGGCTAAGATTTCTCTTACCATGTTGATCGTGCTTGAGGCAGCAGCAAGTGGCAAAGATGAAAACTATGAACTAGCCTTTGAATGAAAGGTTTGTGCTTCTTCCTAAATACATAACCTTGATTGAGGGTCTATGATGGATAAGTTGTTGTGGGTTTTTTAAGTGTATTTATTAAACCATGAATGTAAGGCTTTCAGATATTTCTTGTTTTACTGAAGCATGAGGCTTACAGTATGAGGAGGCATGTATAGCTTGCCTAATTATACCAGATTCTGTGTCATGCTTGCTAGCCAGAGCTCCTGGGTACTGTTGTGTGGATGCATCCTCCTCCTGCATCTTTCAAAGATGTAGGGCCTCTGTGCATGCGGATTCCACAGAGCTGTCATGGAGACCAGCCATTTTCTTTTAAAACACTCATCCTTCCACTTAGTCTGTGGTAAACACGTAGTGTTCCTTCTGGATCATCACCGACCCATGCTGGGAGAAGACAGACATCTGAACTTTCTTTCTCCTCCTCCCTGTAGAAGCTGAAAATCTTCCCATAACAGATGTCTTCCCTGGCATCAATAGAACCTTTGTGTCTTTTCCCCCTGGCCCTGAAGGGGGATGGGGTATAATTTCAAGTATCAAGCAGCTGGAAGGGAAGATTTAATTCCAAACCCACCCACTCTGCACCCCCACAAAGCATTCACACAAACTCAAGCAAGACAAAAACAAGCATTTTACACTTACTTGGGATTTTTAAAAAAATATTGCTTTAGAGTGAAGCATGAAGGTTTTGCTTGGTTTTCCCCAGCTGCTGCTTGGTGCCTGAACTTGTCTCTTAAGGATTTTTTAAAAGTATATGTGGAGAGTCTCCACTGCCCTCAAAGGAGGCTGGGGGGGGCAGGGCAGGATTTTGGACACCCAGGGGTTGGAATCTTGTCCATTATGCTACACGAGCTTCACTTGGCTTTAAAAGCGTTTTTACACTTGAGCATACGGGATTCTTCGCCCAGTATGAGGCAGTGCAGTCCTATACTGTAATACGTTAATCAGATTCAGCCATACTGATGCCCTGGAACCCAGTCTAAAGCATGCGACTCACCAGCGGCCACTACCCGTAATTTACAAGCCTTTATGGGCCACCAGCCTGTGGCCTTTCAAGTGACAGCGACTCTTCACATGTACATCATAGTACGTTGTGTGTCATCACAACCAACTTACAGTGGCCTTAACAGGACTTCGAAGTCCTGTTTCAACAGGATATTTGTGTTTACCAATTCCACCCCGTACCTTATGCATTGCAGTGGATATCCTACATTCTAGAGTTGTGGAGAAAAGACATGACCAGGTTTTCTGCTACGGCATTTTCTACCTTCAAGCAAATGCCAAGCCTGCAGCCTAAGGATTCCCTCATCAACAGAAGCTTTCTTGCACCACCTTAAGGAGTCTCCACCATGTTAGAAGACTTGACTGAATAACCACAGACTTCCCATTAAAATTAAGGAGGCTATGTTAAGATACATTTTATATCTGTTTTAAAAAAAAAACCCACCAAAAAGCATTTGCTTCATCCCCATGTAAATCAATCCAAGTGCTTAACTTTGGTTGTGTCTTTTATAGTACTGTAACGACTACATGCTAGTTTACGTGCAGTCAGCAGGGAAATGACTTCTAAATGTGGCAGCCTGGATCTGCTGGATGTGCCTGTCCTGCCAAAGTAGATGACAGTTTAAATGCTGTTCTTGTTTTCAAACCATGTGTGTGTGTATATACATATATACAGTATGTGTGTTTTTATTCCCTGGAGTCTGTCCAGGCATTTTGCACTGATTCACTGGGAGGGTTCCTTATATGACTGCATTAACTGTGCTGATTACTACAGTGCTGATGCACTCATCCTGCTACATACAACTGCTTGAAAGCAGGCACAACAAACAGTATAGGATTTCTAATTTATGTGTATGTTTGTGCAATCTTGAGGGTGCCAACTTAACATTTGAAGTTAAGTCAGTGATGTCTACTGCAAAGTAAATATGCTCAGAATTGAAGATTATCACCTATCTGTGAGCAAACAAAGAAGTTCATAAGTTCCGTTTGTATCAGGGCAATTGTGACAGAGGCAAACAAGATATTAATCGTCAGATCAGGACGGTTTTTGCAGAATCAAGTGAATTTGGCCAAATACTTGGCAGTTTCAGTTTGAAGTCTGCAAAAGCTAATGGTCATATACATACAGGAATTATGTTAAAGGCCGAGTTATTTTTATTTTAAAAAGGAACGGGTTTTAAACAAAATACATACAAGATTTTTTTTCTTTTTGCTATTGTTTTATGGCCACAACAAAAACACAAACTGGTACAGAGAAGTACCTGTCGGTTAAAACAAAAAGGCTTGAAGACAAAGGTATGTTCCCTGGGGAAGGCTGAGGACTTCAGTCTATTTGGAATTAGCTTGCAGTCCTGTAACCAGATGCATGTTTGGGTGAAACCGTCTCATATTCTAACCAGACTTGAAGAGGAGAATAGCAACTTGGCCCAGGTAGAAGTAGATGAAGTGCTTGGTCTCGTGAGTCACATAGCTGCCAAAATTTCTTCCCACAATGCAGTGCCAAGTGGGGTTGTATTTCTTGTCAAACTCCTGGAAGAGAACAACTGAACATTTTAGCATCACCGGGATAGACGGCATCTTCCCATGTGTTGAGCCACCTATTATTTAGGTGGAAGAAACGTCTCTTATTCTAATCTCTTGAGCTTCTAAAGGGAAGATGTTTTTACTACACCATAGCCTGCTGTTTTCACATTTGTTTGTGCTCTGTAGCTGATAAGGTTGCCGATCACAAGCTACTTTTAAACTGCTAGAACCATAGAAAGTTATATTAAAAATGCTAATGATGTTACTAGGATTATTTTGAAGCAAGATGCAGGGCAGGTTTTGCAAGGACATTCCATGTAAGTCCACAGACATTTACACAGAACCTGAAGAAAAGAAACATCATTAATTAGTACTGCATCCTTCCCAATCTCTCTAGAAGTTTCTGGATTTACAATTTGGCTTACTTTAAAAGGACAATATGTATACAACTCTTTTTGAAAGAATCTATGAGTTTCATAGTATGTATATTCACATACATCACTTGGCCATGCACGTATTTTACTTGTCATTGTTACAAGCCTCTGATTCAGTGACCATATGCATGAGTGATCTCCAAAGCAGGGCTGCTCAGCAAGGCTGTGGTTTCCTTTATGGATTCAATCCATCTCACATTTGGTTTTCCTCTTTCCCTGCTGCTTTCCTCTTTCCCTAGCAGAGTTTTGCTGTCTAGTGGTGTGCCTAAAATAGGACAGCCTCAGCTGCGTCGTTTTTGCTTCCAGAGAACATTCAGGCTTGATGTGATCTAAATTTCATTTGAGGATTGATTTTACATGCTTTACACGGGTCTTAACAATCTATCCTTAGATTTACGATGCCCACATCTTTCATCTAATACACCATCTTGCGTGATGTCGCCAGTGTCATTTTGTTGAAAATAGCATTCACTTGAACCAAGTTAAATATATAGTCAGCAGTGAGTGCCTGCACTTGTACCAACATTACATAGTCTCAAGAATTCATCACTTTCATTCCTCCGTACCTACAAGCATTCTCAATATCTTGTTATAGTCCTAAAAGCTATGCTAATGAATGTTCTTTTAATTGCATACTGCCCCCGTAGCGCTAAGGAACAAACTCCTACACCCTCCTTGTACAGTGTGCTATGCTGTAGCCTGACAAGCTTCTCACTCGTTCTGCCAAATTCAGGGGACTACAGATGGTTCTCACTCCCATGGGGTGAGTAACTGAGCAACACAGGCACACAGACAGGCCACCCACACAGAGCAGCAGACGGTGAGGCTGAAGGAAGGTGTCAAACTCTTATCCGGCAAACCAGAACACTTGAAGCCCGCCCTTCCCACACCAAATACCACTTGTGCCTATGCATTCTTAAATCTGTACATGTGCTTAGTTCAGAACAGGGGTTGATTTTTTCCCCTCTCACTTGGTCTAGACTCTGCACTTGGCAGTACCTTTTTTATACTACTCAATAATAGGGGTAAGCAATAACAATCCACAATTACCTTCTTTATGTGGGCTGCAATATCCTTCTCAATGTTGTATTTTTCCAAGGCTTGTGTAGCACACTCCACAGAGTCCTGCTGCATCTCCTCAGACATGTCCGCATTTTTGATCACAGCCTTTCGATCACTCATGGTTGCCTACAAGGCACAAAGGGCAAAAATGAGAAATGCTGAAAGACCTGTCTATTCTGCAAGACAAGCATATAGCTAAAGAACACAATTTCCAGAAGCATCCATCCCGTTTCCTTGAAAGAAACATGAAAATTTCTTCCCGCTTTTAATCTGGTTAGATATATCTCTAACAGTACATCACTAAATCTATCTATATTCATCACTACATCACTCTGATGGTTAGAAAACTATTGATACAATGCATTCCTTTCATGGCCTTAATAAATTCAGTCTGCCAGGTACTTATGTCTCTGCAGGAAGAGCTCTATCTAAGGAGTGCTTAATTTGCACACCATTTCTGCTTCACTAGAATTTAAAGCCTACTTTGGGAGTGAAACTCAACAACCTACACATTTCTATAATTAAAAACCTGAACAAAATACAGCCACAATAACTGACATCTTTGTGTGGTGCACACAACCATTCGCAGATGTCTGAGCTGCCCCACCCACTCCCCAGGAATGCATTTTAACACATCAACCTCATTACCATTCCCACAGAGAGGTTATTTTATTCAAGAATGCCAAGACTCTTTCTCGTGACAAGCACAACCCCAGATGAATTCCACAATCCCACAACCTGAAGTCATGATGTGTGAACTACCACTTTTAACATCTTAACTCCACCACTTCTTCAGGAGTATTCCTAAATATCAACTCCCCTACCCAAACCCGTCCATTATTCCCTCTTGTTCACAAAATCAATACAGTACACTATCCTTCCCTCCCCCCCCCCATGTTCTAAAATGCTAGCTTTCCTGTTACGGAAGGAGAAATTGACTCTGCCTGCCTATTTACACCCTTTACTCTGTTCATCTCTCAAGGAAACGGAGAAAAAGGAGAAGATCTCACTACCTGCATATTCCGCAGCAAGAACAACAGCCTTCTTATGCCCCCCTCCACTGTCTATGTACAGGTCAACCCCCAATTTAACCACACCATTTCCTCTCCTTTTCTATTCCCTGTTCCTTTTCTGCAGGAACTGCTTACAGGTTTAAACACTGCAGCCTTTACTCAGTTCCAGTTCCTATTTGCTCCCCTTCGTGAAGAGACTCAAAACACTTAAGTTCTTCTTATGCATTGCAGAAGCTATTTTATGGGACTGCAAAGGGCACATCAGGACTATGGCCAAAGTGCCACAAGACCTAACACGTTACGAGCAACGGATGAAGCTCCCACTGCAGAAATTGCATTCCCTCAAGCCACACCTACCTCTGAGCTTCCCTGCACATACCTCCCTTTTTGTCTCCCCAATCACTCTCCTACCAGCATAAGAATCCCCTCCACACCCACATGGCGATGCCAGTCCGTCTCCCTGGCCTGGCACCAAACGACACATGCAGTAGTCATTAGGGAAGAGCTTTGGTGCCCAGTTGACACTGAATCCTCTAGGCACATGAAGTGCAAGACAACATTACTAGGATGAAGGTGACTATCAATGCCCCACTGCTCACTCCTCTTTTTCTATAAATACTTCACTCAACAGTTTAATAACGATCTCCCCTCCCCTTTGCATTCTATTATTTTCATTTTTTTTGACACAGCAAATGTAGGGGTGAGTGTATATAAAAGAACTACAGTACATGGAATCCAACTCAATGCATCCACTTTGCTAACATTCCCAGGGACAAATTATGAGATTACTGAGCAGAGGGTTGGACTCAATGGCCTTATAGACCCCTTCCAACTTCATTATTCTATGATCTAAGATTGACAAGTGACGACTGTTGTCATTTTATCATCAAATCAGAGTCTCGCATGAAAGAGTAGTACACTGGCTGAGCAGAAAAAAAACAGCAGCAAATTAATCTGTTTTCATTGATAGCAAATAAAACCACATCATTTCAAGATCTGCGTGTTGAGTCTTAGACTTTTAAGAACTGGTTTAACACCAATTTCTGCACCCAAGCTTTTATTAAAGGCATCAAGACACAATTCTAGTTACAACCTGGAGACAGGAAGGCAATTTTTCATTTTTTTAATTAAATGAATAAATAAACAAATGAAGGAAATCAATGAGTGTCCACCTTTCAGAGAAGTTAAATTCATCCCTCTTGCTACTACACCACCAACTTCGGCTCAATTTAAAAAAAAAAAAGGGGGGGATTGAGAGCCAGAATAGTTGAGGCCCAGGTTCAGAGTCCTGAAATAGGACTCCATGGTCCTGGGTTCAAATCCCACCCAACCCACCTTCACAGGCTCCTATTCTCTTCCTATGTCCAACCTCACAAAGTTGTTTTGGGGAATATAAGGAGGGAAGGAGGCAAGAGTGCCTGGCGGAGGAGGCGCAGAGAAGCCCGGAGGAAATAAGGGCTCGGGAATATCAGCCTTTTTTTGGGGGGGGGGGGCTACAACTGCCACTGAATCCACTAGGGAGAAAATGTTGTAAGAATAAGTAGCTGTGAGTCAACAACGTCCCCCCTCCCCGTGCGCAAACATTTATTCCCTTGATTTATTTAAAATGCTTTTTTTTTGTATCCCGCCTTGCGGCTTAAAAAGAACCCAAGGCGCCTCACGTCACTAAAAGCCAACATTTAAACAGGCGACCCGTGGCTTTGTTTCGCCCCCCCCCACAAACAAAACCGTTCCCCAAGAGATTAAATCACGTCCCCAACCCTCCAAAAATTTTTTTTAAGTCCTCAGCAGTAAAAAGATTAAATCTAGGGGCCTTTGAGGGTCCGTCCGTCCTCTCCGCGCGCCCCCCCGCTTCGGGCCTCGGTCCGAGACCTTGTCCGTTAGAGCCTTCACATCCACCCACCCACGTTCGTGAGGCCTACGAAGGAGGCGGCGGCGGTTAGCAGCCCTTTCCTTCCTCACCGTGGGCTCCGGGGCTACTTCTCAGGACGTCGTCGGTGGAGCGGACGAACAAGTGGGCCCCCGGCTGCGCCCTCAGCGGCTCCCCCGCCGCGCAACGGTACGACCGACGGCCGCCGCCTCCTCCTCCTCCTCCTCGCAGCTCCGGCTCCCGTCCAGCCCGCCGGCTTCCTGTCGAATGCAGCCGTTCCCGCCCCTCTGCCTTCCCCCCCCACATACACACCCTCCCTCCGCAGGCCACGCCCAGCAAGCCCTCTCCGGAGGCCGTCATTGGCCGACGCAACAATGCCCCTCGCGGGCCATTGGAGGGCTGGCCTCCGCCTCCCGTAGAGTTTTGCTGCCGCATTTTGTTGCGGGCCGGCATGCCCCGCGCCGGCGTCCGTTGCCGCGGCAACGGGGAGAGTCGGAGGAGGAAGGGCCTAGTCGGCCGCTCCAGCCACGCGGAGGGCAAGGAAGAGTTTGGAGGGGGGGGGCGCTCCGTTTCTCTCTCTCTCTCTCGCCCTCCCCCCGACCTCTCAGAATCACCTCCCGCCTCGGTAGCAGCCCCCCCAACACACTCGTTCCAGAACTGGGGGGTGGAAACTAGAGATATAAAAATTTCAGGAAAACTTCCATTTTTGCCCCCCCCCCCGGGGAAAAAAACACGTGTTTTTTCAGAGGGAAAATTGAAATCTTCCGAAATTTTTACATCTTTAATAGTGGTAGTGTCAACTACTGTGCATTTTTTTTTCCAGGAAAAAAAATCGGGGTGGGTGGGGGAACCGTGTTTTTTTCTGGAAAAATAGAAATTTCTAGATCTCTAGTGGGGACACGCAACCGGTTTAGTACGACCTATATTATAAACTAGCAAGTCTTCAAAGGCTGTACAAAAAGACGTCCGGTTTCTCTTTTGCTCTCTTCTTCTCCCCTACCCCCAATGGTTTCTTTCTGGGAGAAAGCCAGATGTTGTCACAGTTGGGCTGACTTTTGGGCACCGACTCTAAAACCAGTTATGTTGTGGCCCCATTCAAACCAGCCACACAAAAAAACTCATCAGGTTACAACTTCTCTCACCTTTTTTAAAAAAATCAAAACCCTGGAAGGATCAGCTGTAATCAATCCCCTTGCACTGGCCCTTCCTCATTTTTGGGCCAGAGGAATCTAGCTTTAAGCATTTTATGTGTTTTACAAGCTTTGCTTGCCTTAGTACTTCTTCCAATGGTTACCCTTTCCACCCACTTTTACTATTTTTTTTCTTTTATTAATGGCCAAAGGAGACTTCAAATGGTTTTACATTTTTTATAGTTCCATATGTTTTATTATCTGTTATTCTACTTGGTGTGAACTGCTCAGAATAGTGCATTGCAGTATATAAAGCTAATGAAATAAATAAATCTGTAGCTTTGGCACAAAACATGGTCCAATTGTGGGCCATATTATCTGGACACTTCTCATGGTATTCTTTCCCCCCTCGCAGTATATAAAGCTAATGAAATAAATAAAGCTGTAGCTTTGGCACAAAACGTGGTCCAATTCTGGGCCATATCATCTGGACACTTCTCATGGTATTCTTTTCCCCCTCCTTAGGTTGTTGTTGCTGTTTAGTCCTTAAGTCGTGTCTGACTCTTCGTGACCCCACGGACCAGAGCACACCAGGCCCTCCTGCCTTCCACGGCCTCCCGGAGTTAGGTACTGCTACCTAATTCTCTCTCAGAAGCCTGGCTTTTGTCTGAGTTTTTCAGCCAGCTGTGACGAATGCATGACAGGTAATTTTGACACTTCTAACATATCACAATCAAGCTCTGTCCAGAATGGTTTGCAGATCCCTGACAGTGCAGCTGGAAGGGTCTCATCTCAGAAATGTCAATGACCAGTGCCACTCCGTCCTTGATTTCCGTTTCTACAGTAAATTATCCCCGAGGACAAGTCTCATCTTGCTAAACTGCTTATTCTCTTCAGTGTGCAGGTTCTACCCTGTAAGGAATGACCTGGAGCATCTTTTAAGTTGTGTGTGCCACGTCTGAACCATTGCAGCTGACCATTAGGATTATACACTTTGGTGACCTGGAGCATCTTTTAAGTTGTGTGTGTGCCATGTCTGAACTATTGCAATTGACCATTAGGATTACACACTTTGATGTTTTTGGTATCCCAGTGGCTCCTCCATCCCTTATTCCTTCTGTCCGTGTTTAGTGAGCACAAGGCTGGAATGTAGCGACTGGTGGAAGCAAAGGCTTCACCCTCAGATGCAGCCTGTCTATCTCTTTAGTGGCTGAGTTTGCTGGTGCCACTTTACAAAACAGAATTTGCAAAGGAGTCTGGAACACCTCAGCCCTAGCATTCCTTCTAGAAACATCATTTCATGCTGGAGGGGACCGACATGCTGTGTCCTCAGGAAGAGGTGGTTCCGCTCTACAGACCCAAGCAATACTTTAGTTCCTAAGCATCTTGCAAATGGGTTCTGTGCCTGTGTAGAAGCTTCTAATCTGGAGCCTAGCATTATGGCAGGAGCCCTACTCTTTCCTCTCCGTGCAAGTCCCAAGACAAGGTTGTCACTCCATTTGACTTCCATTTCCCACAGTGCCAGCAAGTTATTTAATGACAGGTCTTTGCAAGATTTTCTTTAGTTTTATAGTTTGTTGTTCTTGGATCGTAGCATTTTTAGTGGGATCGTATCATTCAGTGGTCGCTAACTCAAGTCTAATGGCATCAAAGGCCTTTTGCAAGTGATATGTGTCCTATAGGAGAAAATTTCTTTTGTGGACAGAAATTATCAGTGTCTCTTTTGATTGGGGGTACTGGATTAATATGGGTCAACATGGTTTTACTAGGCAGACTCATTGGAATAGGGCTGAAAGACTCAATTTTAGCTCTTTGCATAAAAAAGCCACTTTTCCAGGAAGTTCTGTTTACTGGAGAGAGGATAATTTCTGTCTGAGGCAGGCCGCTCTTGTGAAAACACAAGGAACAGAGAATCTGTTTGTTAATAAGAGTTATGAAGAACCAATTTGGGCTCTTGGCCCAGGTCCTCACCCCTCCCAGGCTGGATGACAAGGTGTATGGCCACACCCCTGATGGCATGGGTGTGATCATGCCACTTGATGTCACAGTGTGTCCCTGGTTTTTGGGCCGGGGCTCAGCTTTGCCACATCAATGGGCTGTAGATACCCTCCTGGAACCCTGGCTGAATCTGAGAAGCTTTATCTCTCCCCCCTTTCTTAATATGTGCTTCTGGCCTTCCCACTTGTGGGAGGGTGACTGGAACAGAGAAAGCTCCTGCCCTTAGGAAGAATTCTCTCCCTTGTGGCAGTTAGTGACACCAGCTTCCTGGGTTCTATGTTAGTCTTGCCGTTTACAAGAGCTAACCAGGGTTCTGAATCCTATTCCCCAAACAGGTTCAGCACCTGGGATGCCTCCCATAAAGTACAAACTAAAGTCCAGAGTGGTTTTATAGCATGCCCAAAGCTGGAGTCATCTGCCACCATATTTGCTCTCTCGGCTCCATTTGCATTTGGGAGAATGAACAGACAGGGTGGGGGAACTGTTATACTGTAGACGTTCCCAAGTGGATGCTATGTGCTTCCCTTTGGTGCTGTTTGTGCTTCAAATCCACTGCTTTTGCCAAACAGAAAGCCACTGTTGAAGCTCTGCAGGAGAGCAGGCTGCCTCCTGGGATGTGTTTCAGAGGTGCCTTTCCTCAGAAATGGAGCAGAACAGTTCTTTGTGTCTTCCCTCCATTTCCACTTCTCACATGTCTTCATCGTGTCAGGAAGGGCTGTTCCCTCGTTGCCTCTTGGTGGCCATGAGAAATGTCTTTTGCCTGTTCCGTAGTGCAGCTTTCTCACCACACTTTCCTTCAGTTTCCACCTTCATGAGGCATGCTGGCCAAGGAAGAGGGAGAGCAAGCATGACAGTCCTCGGGCTGCCAGTAGAGAGAATTCCGCTAGGGGGCAGTTATCTCAGCCGGACTTATGGCTGCCAATTTACTGCTGTTCCAAGGGTCCCTGAATATCTTACAGATGTCTGAACTTTGCCTGGAAATGTCACAGTACTTCTTCCATTCCACCTTTTGATCACAAGCTTTCCTGCAAGAAATGCGCCAGTAAGCCAACAGAGAACCATGGCCCCAAGCCTTTCATGTGCCACAAGGCTCATCTTGTGGATACACAAAGAAAGAGGCAGCTTCTAAGCCAGCGTGCCCAGGACTGGGTCAGTTTTTAATGAGCATTTCCTGCTTGGTGCTACACCTTTTTAGCTGGTGTATTTTCCCTGCCTTGTTAGTTGCTTGACTTGAGGGCTGTTTCTAATCCAAACATTGTCTTTTTTTTCTTCTCCACAGTACTGCTAGCTGCCTTGAGCATCTCTGCCACTGGAAAGGTGGGATATACTGTACACTTAACAAAGAAAACATTAAAAATGTGATTGTTATACTGTAGACGTTCCCAAGTGGATGCTATGTGCTTCCCTTTGGTGCTGTTTGTGCTTCAAATCCACTGCTTTTGCCAAACAGAAAGCCACTGTTGAAGCTCTGTAGGAGAGCAGGCTGCCTCCTGGGATGTGTTTCAGAGGTGCCTTTCCTCAGAAATGGAGCAGAACAGTTCTTTGTGTCTTCCCTCCATTTCCACTTCTCACATGTCTTCATCGTGTCAGGAAGGGCTGTTCCCTCGTTGCCTCTTGGTGGCCATGAGAAATGTCTTTTGCATGTTCCGTAGCAGCTTTCTCACACTTTCCTTCAGTTTCCACCTTCATGAGGCATGCTGGCCAAGGAAGAGAGAGAGCAAGCATGACAGTCCTCGGGCTGCCAGTAGAGAGAATTCCGCTAGGGGGCAGTTATCTCAGCCGGACTTATGGCTGCCAATTTACTGCTGTTCCAAGGGTCCCTGAATATCTTACAGATGTCTGAACTTTGCCTGGAAATGTCACAGTACTTCTTCCATTCCACCTTTTGATCACAAGCTTTCCTGCAAGAAATGTGCCAGTAAGCCAACAGAGAACCATGGCCCCAAGCCTTTCATGTGCCACAAGGCTCATCTTGTGGATACACAAAGAAAGAGGCAGCTTCTAAGCCAGCGTGCCCAGGACTGGGTCAGTTTTTAATGAGCATTTCCTGCTTGGTGCTACACCTTTTTAGCTGGTGTATTTTCCCTGCCTTGTTAGTTGCTTGACTTGAGGGCTGTTTCTAATCCAAACATTGTCTTTTTTTCCCTTTTCCACAGTACTGCTAGCTGCCTTGAGCATCTCTGCCACTGGAAAGGTGGGATATACTGTACACTTAACAAAGAAAACATTAAAAATGTGATTCTGACGATCCCCTCTTTTCGATGAAGGGCATAAATGACTTTTTAAACGGCACCTTTTATGCAATGCAGCTTAGTGCAGCTTTAGATAATTGAGCGCCGTGCGTTTAACCCTTATTTAACACAGCCTGGTTTCCCCTGCCTATCCTACTCGCCCAGAGGCGGGCGGACTCCGGGGCCTGGGAAGCCTCGTGCCCCTGCCCAAGAGCGGGGCAGCACCCCCCCTCCCCCAGGCTGAAGTCCTGCCAACGGCCTCCTTCCCGGGGGCAACCCGTCCCAAGAAGGGCGCCCGTCCTCCACGCGAGCGGAAGGCCACGGTGCCAGTCACCGGAGCGTGGCCTCCTATCCTACTCGCCCAGAGGCGGGCGGACTCCGGGGCCTGGGAAGCCTCGTGCCCCTGCCCAAGAGCGGGGCAGCACCCCCCCTCCCCCAGGCTGAAGTCCTGCCAACGGCCTCCTTCCCGGGGGCAACCCGTCCCAAGAAGGGCGCCCGTCCTCCACGCGAGCGGAAGGCCACGGTGCCAGTCACCGGAGCGTGGCCTTTCGAGGTGGGGCCTGTTTTTCC